TCTGGCGTCATGATGTCCCTCCTGCAGAACATCACGTTGCCTGCTGTGACTGTATGTGCATGTGTGTGGCTTCAAACCTATTTTGGTTGTTAGAATCACTTCCTTCTTGAAGTAAAAGAAATAAATTCCCTGTTGACTGTGCTACTAGTAAACATTTTTCTTCCTCTTGGTTCCTGCCCTCCTGTCAACAGTTGCTAGGAGTTGAGACAAGCCTATTTCCTCATTCAATGTTGTGCGAATTGCCACGAACTGTCCAAAGTGATACAGACATTCATAGTTGGGACCAGAACTAGAATCTAGGTTTTCCTGACGACACAGAAGACACTATTTCAACTGTGTTTCTTGCCTATGGTTATTGGTCACTGGTTGGTAGTAATCCAATTTTCCAAAGTTTTAAGATTAAAAGATTATTTTCTTTAAATTATTTTTAAAGTCTAATAGTTAAAAAAAAGCTAACCAAAATAATAACACTGACTATCACACTTTTATAAATGTCAGAACAGAGAGGAAAATGCATATTTATTGAGCATCTAGTATTTGATAGACTTGTACATAGCTTATCTTATTTAAACCTCATTACACTGAGTGTATTTATTATTAGGTAAATACTTTTCTCTACACTTGACAGAGCAGGAGACTGAGGATGAAAGAAGTCAAGTAATTAAAGTCTTTTTATTCATGCTGTATGCTGGCTCCCATTGCTCAGTGGTCAAAGACAGCCCCGTGGAGCACCACCCTCCTGTGCTTCGTTGAACCTCTGCCACAATGTCTCAGTGAGTCTTTGGAGACCTCCCACACAGCAAGAGCAGAAAGGTAACCACCAGCCAGAGATACACAGTACAGCTGCGTCCAGGTCCCATATTATACCTACACATCTGGTTGCTGATGCCAGACAGGGCACAAGAGCTGTCCCGTGTATCCATCAACCACCAACACATAACCATACAGTCCATACATCCTAATTCCAGGGCTCATATAGCTGTCAAATTGCACCACCATCTTCTATGGGCCTGTCGACTGCCACGTGGCACCCAGTAAGTGTTTTAAATGTCTGAAAATAAGAAGAAATCTTTAAAATAGCCCCAAAACTCATCATTTTTCTCAGTCCAAAATATTAGAGATTTACCTTTTTGAGGGAAAAAACCCTGAAAATAAATAGGCACTTTCTAGAGTTAAAAAAAACAAACCTGTAAGCAACGAGGAGTCACCGATCATACCTCAATGAAGTGATTTTTAAAGAAAGATCTCTACCAATTGTTTAATTCCGCAGTAGAACTGACAGGCAGGCTTAAGAAATGTTACATTATGAGACTATATTTTTAACTTTCTGAGCTCATCCTAATCCTGTGGTGACAGTAGGTTAAATTAAATTTTTAAAGTGTTAAGAGATTAAGAAATACTATTGTATCAGTGGCTTTTATGGCCTAACAGCACCCCCAAATAGGGTGACTTAAAACAACAAACATTTGTTTTCCACAATTCTGTGGGTTGGAAGGAATTCAACACGAACTCTCCAATGGGTAGCTCCAGTCTGGGTCTGCTCAGCTGGTGAGCGCTGGCTCACTCACACACCCACAGTGCGCTGGAGTCGTACGGTCTAGGACAGCCTCGGTCCCATCTCTGGCGGTTGGCAGATGTCAGCTGGAGTGACACGGACATGACCACGTGCCCCTCTTCGTCCAGCAGCCTCGCTCAAGCTCATCCACATGGTTGGATCGGGGCTCCGAGTGCAGCAAGACGGCAAGCACAAGTACACAAGCATTTTTCAAGTCTCTGCTTACAGCACATCTGTTAAATGTCCTGTGGGCCAAGCACAAATATACGTGGCCAAGTCCAGATTTCCTGGGCGGAGAAACAGAATTAACTTCTGGACAGGAAGACCATAAATTCATATTGCAGAAGGGCATGCACACAGGGATGAAACAATTTGCAGCTATTTTTGCAACCTATCACAACTATTTTTTGAGTAATCTACAAAATACTCTGGGAATTTCCTCCTAATTCATTTAAAGGAATCGTTAAGTATAATGAGTCATATATACATATGCCATCTAGTCAAAAGAGAAGTATTTTGCTCCTTCTTTTCTTTAGAGGTGGTGCTAAAGCCAGTGAAGGAAGGGTTTTCTGGGGGTTTGAGCTCCTAAAAGGCCAGGTCCCTGTCTGCCTCTTTCTGTATCCCCAACGGTATGGCAACTTCATTTGAATGAATGAGTGTGTTTATTTCCTAAATCTACTGACATTAAAACAGCAAGACAAAAAAAAAATAATGACTGCGGACTCTCACAGAGCTTCAATGTCATGACTTTCTAAGAATAAAAAGGGAAAAAATCACATAACATCAGAATATACAGTAATATACTCAGGCATACTTTTCAGTTTAATTGTATTGGTTTCTAGATCCTGGACTCTGTCTCCCATGTTACTTATAAACATAGCAGAAAAAGAACTGAAGGAAAAAAAAAACAAACAAGCCAGTGCATTTTCTTTCAAGGTTCTACATATTAAAAAGACATTTACTCACAAGGCACATTCATTATATGCTGGTACTTGCCAGCCTGTCACCGAGAGAGTGAAAGGAAATGGACTTGGGGAAGGCAGAGAACTGAGTGTCACAGAACGCAGTCCACGTAGGGTTAGTCAGCCCCCTGCCCTGGCCAGACTCTCTTGATGACAATTCTTTTGTGTCACCTGTGGGGCACCCAGTGACACCACGCTTGGAATGACCCTTATTCATCATGGATGCGTCTTTGGTATCAGCTGGTCAATATAATCTCCCAAGAGGGAGGAGACAAGGGGGTGAATAAAATCACCTAACTTTGCTGAAATATTCATTGGCTATCGTGTTCTATCACAAGAAATAATTCCTAAAGAAAAAGTGGACCCTCTCCAAAGAGAAAGAAAACATACTCTCCCCTCATGTGCGGGATGAGGTGTGTTCAGGGATTTGTCAAGGAGCCATAAACTCACTCTTCTCTGGTCATTATCATAACGGGTCTTAGCAGAAACCAGTGAACTGGGGAAACTCAAGCCCTCAGGGAGTGGCTTTTAGCAATGGGCTGTGCTCTGCCTCTCTGTCATAGTCTCTTGTTTTGATTCTCTATGGTGTGGAGGGAACTTGGGAGGGAAGAGAAGGGGAATTCTCAGTGACCTTATAAAGGAGTTGAGTCAGACCTCGGGGAAGTTTAGTTCATTGTGTTCAGATGTATCTCTCCATCCTTTCTGTATCACACTCCTTCCGGTTCCTGCATCCCCAGATTTCCTTTCGATGCTAAGAAAAAACAACCCCTTCCTTAACCTTCTGGTTTCCTTGACCTCCTTCCCACAGCCACCCGGGTCACATGGGTTCTTTTCCTCTAATTCTGCTCAGCTTCTCCCAGCCCAGTAGGGAGCATCCAGTAGCAGCCCCCTGAGAAGCACAGCCTCCCAGCTCCCACTCACAACTACTAGACAATTTCTAATGACTCCTTCCCTCCCCTCTCTGTGTGGACTGAAGACAGCAGAAGAAACAGCAACCACAGCATCCCCACTTTACAGGTGAGGAAACTGAGGCTCAGACAAGCTAAGTAAATTGCCCCAAATCACAAGCCTACTAAGTCAAATCATTCCTACCCTGAGTTTTGTAATCTTTCACCCTTTTCACTGTCTCACTGTATCTCCTATCTTTCTGTACATCCAGTTTCTGAACATTGGGCCAGAATATGCCTGTCTCTGTCAAAGAAGAATTATCAGCTGTGGCTTAGACATACCCTTCATGTTAATCTCATTTCCCAGAAATGCCAGCCAAACTGCACCCAGATCTTGTGAATGCATGAAAAGTGTGAGGAAAAAAACACTATGTGCCAGTGACACACAGATACTAAAAAATAGTCCAAGTGTGTTCATGAATAAATATGTCAACATCTCTTCTCCAACATCCCTAGACTTGCTCCCAATGGGAACTACAACTCTGGGGAAGACTGAATTTCAGGATCACTATGCATCATTGTTCTGTGCCTAATGAAAAAATGGAAAGACATTTCCCTTTCCACGCATCTTTTACTTGAGGAGTGAAATACACAGAAGGGATTAGCCTGGGTCTCTGCCTCCCGATCTCATATTCCCTCTGCCCCCCGATCTCATATTCCCTCTGCCCATCAAAATGTTAAAGGGACTTAGCCATAAAAAAGAATAAAATAATGCCATCTGCAACAACATGGATGGACCTAGAGATCGTTATTCTAAGTGAAGTAAGCTAGAAAGAGAAAGAAAAATATCATATGATACCACCATATGTGGAATCTAAAAAAAAAGAAGGAAAAAAAAGAAACAAGAGGACACTAATGAACTCATCTACAAAACAGAAACAGACTCACAGACATGGTAAACAATTTTATGGTTTCTGGGGTAAAGGGAGTGGGAAGGGATAAATTTGGGAATTTGAGATTTGTCAATGTTAGCCACAATATATAAAAACAGATTTTAAAAAACAAATTTCTTCTGTATAGCACAGGGAACTATATTCAACATCTTGTAATAACCTTTAGTGAAAAAGACTATGAAAATGAAAATATGTATATATATGTATGACTGGGGCATTGTGCTGTACACCAGAAACCAACACATTGTAACTAACTATATACTTCCATAAAAAAAGGTCAAAGGCTACAAATATTTGTAAGATTCTTGACACTTGTTGCAGAATCACATTGTCAATCATGCTTTGATAGGAAGCCGATTCTTCACATTAAGCACATAACCTATTCTGAAGGTATCTGAAACTTTTTCACAGTAAAAGGTGAATACATGAGAAAAGATAACTAACAGTGTTACCCATGCCTCACCTGAGAATTAAAATGTTAAGGGTAAAACTAGAGGAATCTAGGAGAGGCAATTTAGGGAGCCTCTGGGCATGTCTTATTCATCTCAGGCCTCTGTGTAGAAAGCCCCCAAAAGAGTCCCTTTTTATAAATGCAGCTGACTACCTTCAGAAACAAACCAAGTTTCAGGTAAGGCAAGGAGACAGAGGGGGAAAATGGCAGGATGGCTGAAAGCATAGAAGAGATGATTAATAACCATTTAGGGAAGAGTTCTAGAGGAAGCAACAGGAAGATGAGAGGGATGAGAAAGAGGGCAGAAGAGGCAGGAACAGCTGGATCGGAGGGGAGAAATCATGGGGAATTAGTAAGAGTGGCGAGAAGATAAATACTCAGTGACTTACATTTTGGTGGCGACCAAGACCAATGGGCATACCAACTTACACAAAAATATCCTGATAAATACCTTAATGCTGAAGGCTCAAATGGAAGTGAAATAGCACTATGAGCTCATCTGGGTGATGGGTGGAGAATGAGAACATGGCAGTGGTCCTCAGCTCTAACTGCCCCCTTAGCATCTCCTGAAGAGCTTTAACAGTATACACATATCCAGGCCCCCTCCCAACCATTAAACTAGAATCACTGGGAACAGACTTGAACACTGGTAGTTTTTGGCAACGGTATTCTTGTTAAGATCCCTAGAGCTAAGAACCATTAACATATGGCAGTGGTTCTTTTCTTTTTAATGTATTTTTATTGAAGTTTACAGTGTTATGTTAATTTCTGGTGCAGAGCACAATACTTCAGTCATACAGGAACGTACATATATTCATTTTCATATTCTCTTTCACCATAAGTTACTACAAGATATTAAATATAGTTCCCTGTGCTCTACAGTAGAAACTTGTTGTTTATCTATTTTTTATATATTAGTTAGTATCTGCAAATCTCAAACTCCCAGTTTATCCCTTCCCACCCTATTCCCCCTCTGGTAACCATAAGTTTGTTTTCCATGTCTGTGAGTCTGTTTCTGTTATGCAAATAAGTTCGTTCGTCCTTTTTATTTTAGGTTCTACACATAAGTGATATCATATGGTATCTGTCTTTCTAGCAGTGGTTCTTAAAGTTGGTCCTGGACTTCCAGCATCACCACAGCCTGGGAACTTGTTAGAAATGCAAATTCTCAGGCATCACCCCAGACGAACTAAATCAGAAATCTGGGGTGGGGCCCAGCAATTCACATTTCCACAAGCTCTCTGGGTGATGGTGAGGCATGCTGAAGTTTGAGAACCACTGTATTTGGGATGTGGTTGGAGTGGGGTTCACCTGCAACACAGAGGCAGCTATAGCTAAGCAATAAGTAACCCTTCATGGTGAGCAGAAGTTATGTTCCCAGCAGTATTTTATGAGACTTCTCCCTGCCCCAATCTTTTTACATGTAATTTTTGGCAGTTTGATAGGCAAAAAAAAAAAAAAAAATTGTTTGTCTTACTTAAGAGTGAACATTTTTCATATGTTTATGGTTAACATAAATCTTGAGTGCTGCATTTCAAATTGATTTCTGTGCTTTTCGTCTAAAATAAAAATAGAGAGTAGCTAGTCACTGTTGAGTGGAGGGGCAAACATACTGAACAGTTGCAAGGCGGGGGTAACAAAAGCTCCAACTAGCCTGCTTCATGGAGGATCAAGACAGGGTTCCAGTGACCAGCTTTCAGCCCAAGAATGTGAACATGCACAACATTTGTTCATCGTCTCTATTTTTATAAAAAGAGAAATGGAACCACTCTCCAAAAAAGTTAAGGGAAAGAAAAGTAAGAGGAAATTCCTCAAATTTAATAAGTTTAAATGCTGGCAGTATGTGGAGTAAAACACACACAGAAATGTGGTATAAATTTCCTGAAAATGTTAGCTGCTAAATGGAAGGGAGTCATGTTTCTGTATTTTCTTAAATAGAATTTTGCATATTCAGGGTGGTCCGTGAGCTTTAAATAATAACAATTTGCTCTCCAATCTGGCCTCATTTAACTTCCTTTTTTCATTTTAACATCTTGAATTTCTCCCAGTGTTTAGTTTGTAATTCACTCAAAAAAAAGAAAAACTAAGAACCAACATATTTAGGGGGGAAAAAATAAAATAAAACAACAGCGTTGGGCTCAACTAACAAGTTGAGTAAAAAGTATCTTCTCACTTCAAGACACAAACTATTAATTCAGATCTTTGTCACTGCTTACCTAGACCAGTAACTGCTTCCTTCCTCTTTTTATTGCACTCTGCTGCGAGATTCATCTTCCTACAGTGAAACTCAAAAACTCTCGGTAACCTACATGCCCCACTGCTCCCCCATGAAGCCCAGAAGGCGTCAACCGGAGACCGGCCGACGGGAATCAGCCATGGGGAGACTACAGCAGAGAGAGGAACGTATTAATTTTAAAAACTGAGAAGTCACTGGAGAGACTGAATGCCATCATCAACTTTGGGCAGAGAGGCATGCAGACACAGAGTAATGGGTGAGACAGTGCTGCCAGTTTCTGCTCTGCCTCTCCCCGATTTCTTTTGGACCACTGCCCACCCTATCACCACTGGGAGTCATTGGTCAGCAGCGGGAGCCCACATATGGGTGGGGGGAGGTTGACCAGCTGCCCCCATGGACTCACTCCTCCCATCCTCCTCCTGACCCCGGTGAAAGAACTATCTTCTCCCTTTAAAACTTTAGAGGCGAACGCTTCCCAGAGGAATGCCTAGTTGGGGACGAGGGGTCAGGAGCAACAGATGGATGGTTGACTGCAGTCCTGGTGTCCAGGATGCTCTCCCTGGGGCTTATCTTCTCACCTCTTCTTCAAATCACAGGGAAGCCATAAACTAGGGCATGAGCCTCGGTGTCTTCTCCTGGTACCTGATAACTCTAAGGGAACATCAGCTCACAGGCTACAAGACCTGAGGTTGGAACCACCACAGAAGGGAAACCACAAACAGCAAAGGGGATCATATCAAGCAGAAATACTGGAACACACAGATTAAGAATTTAAAATATACACAAGCAATGTCGTCAAAAAGATATTGGTAATATGAAGCAGGGGAATAGTCAAAAAGAGAGCCAAATGGAAAGATTAAGTATTAAAAAAAAACACTTAAAGAAAGAATAGTAAATGGGAAAAATAAATTGCAAAACTGGAAGAATGGACTGAGGAAATCTCCCAGAAGGCAGGAAAAAAAGGATAAAGAGATAAATACAGAAATTAAGAGGGAGGGTCTAGCTCAAGTGGTAGAGCATATGCTTAGCAGGTACAAGGTCCTGGGTTCGTTCAATTCCCAGTACCTTCTCTAAAAAATAAATAAACCTAATTACCTGCCCCTACCCACAAAAAATAAAAATTAAACAAAAAGAACTCAGATATAGTATTGGGAAATTTAAGCATATCAAAGAGAAATAGAAAACTCTGAGAGCTTCCAGAGAAAAAGAACATCTCTTATAAAGTTACAAGAATCAGATTTCTTAACAGCAACACTGGATCCAAATATCTGGGGATTTTCCAGATATCATTCTGTTACTGATTTCTATTTGAACTCCATTGTGGTCTGAAAACACACCTTATATGATCTGAATCCTTTTAAATGTATTGAGACTTGTGGCTCAGAATATGGTCTGTCTTGAGCAGACAGTTTACCAAAGAAGATATACAGATGGCAAATAAGCACATGAAAAGACGTTCAACACGATGATTAGGAAAATGCAAAACAAAAACATAATACAATGCCTCCACACACCAACCATATCCAAGGGTCGCCAAGGGTACAGAAAAACTGGAACTCTCATATGCTGCTGGCTGGAATGTGATATGGTTCAACAATTCTGAAAAGTAGTTTGGCAGTTTCTCAAAAAGTCAAATGTACAGCTACCATCTGACCCAGCCATTCCACTCCAATGTCTTATCCAAGGAAAAGGAAAGTGGATGTCCATACAAAGACTTGTACCTGAGCGTTCACAGCAAATTCACTGGTAATAGCCCAAACTGGAAACAATCCAAATGTCCATTAAGAAGTGAATGGATACACCAATTGCAGTGCATTTATATAATAAAATACTACCCAGCAATACAAAGATGAACTACTGATACACACAATAGCACAAATGAGCTTCAAAATCATTGTGCTAATAAACAAGACAAACAGAAAAGAGTTCATAATGTTTGACTGATTGACATTGAATTCTAGAAAATGCAACTAATCTATAGCAATGAAAAGCAGAGAAGTGGCTGCCTGGGGATGGAGAAGGGCAGGGAGGGGTGGAGGAGGATTACAAAACACCAGGAAAAAACTTTCATGGAAGGTGAATATGTTCAGTACCGTGATTATGGTTGTGATTTCACAAGTGTACACATGGAATAAAACTTACCAAATGAACCCTTTAAATATGTGCTGTTTATTGTACCTCAATTATACCTCAATCAGATTGTTAAAATGAAAAAAAAAATTACCAGAAAATACTGCCGGAAAAAGATACACGAAATACAGGCTCCACAATTTTTTTTAATTAAAAAAATGAGCAAGGAAAAGAGAGAAAATAAAAAATAAGAAAAAACACAAGTGTAATGATCTAGAACTAAAACTCTAGATAATATGCACACAGTGGTGGAGTGGACAAGCCAAAGGGATACGAAATGATGTAATCAGCTGGAATCCAGCCAGGAGGCAGAAACACACAGCTATTGTGAACAGAGAGCATTTCACATAATTAAGGAATTGCTGTCCAAGTTCTAAAGAACTGGAAAATCACAAAGAGAAACATTACCACCACACTAAGCCTTCTTTTCCCCAAGAGTGGAAATTTGTTCCAGTAGTAACAGTTGAGTCTGGCTTGTAGTGTTCCCAACATCCACCTCCCCGCCTCCACCCAAGCCTCAGCATGACCTTCAGAGGGCAAGCCCCCTCCTCAGAGCTCTCAGGCTAGCTCTGCAGGGCTCCGTCTCTGAATTGACAGATTTCAATAATTTCAATCTCCTCTAATATTCTACAGAAATAGTGGGGAAATACGAACACCACTTGTTCAAGAAACACTTAGGGAATTCTCATGAAATTTTTAAAGCAAGATAATAGCGTTAATATTATGCCCCCCCCCGAAAAAAGTCCTTATCCTTGAAAGAGTCATGCTGAAATATTTACAGATGAAATAATATAATGCCTGTGATTTTTTTCAAAATAATCTGATGGGAGAAACTGTC